CACAAGGAAATTCATCTGTTTTCAGTTAGAATTTACAAGGCTTAAAAGACGACCAGGCTTTCTTGGTTTTTCAACTCCTTCTAAATGTGGTTATCAGTTAAGTTTTTTTATTAGGAAATAAGTTTGATTTTGAGCACTATTATTAAAGCGTGGGTGGGGTTCCTAACATAATTCTCATTCGAGGTATCAGTTGGGTGGATCTTCCCTGCGGGATATTTATTCTATACTCCATGGAATATGAAATGACCAGTAGGAGATGTGGTCCCTTTGACTGAGGTTGTCGTACATTCCAATTCGACAAGAGTTGGAAATCTTACGTCATTATATCCTAGTCAGTTGATTGACTAATTGATTGCTTTATTAATAGCCTTCTGGTCGATATAAGTTTAACAGTCCTGAGGTAGATCACTTACAGTATCAGAAATAGTATCAGTACGTATTCCGGAGTTTGATTTCTGGCGGATGCACTCCTTAAACTCTCTTAGCCGTTAGTAAATCCGATGAAGAGGGAAGGTTAGGCGTAAGACTAGCAACGCAACTCCGTAAAACGTATACCGCTGCTACTACTACTACTGGAACTTCAGAGCTGAAGCTTGAAGGCCTATTTTCCATTGGAAACGTAAAGGAATAATAAAAATACGATAAGAGTATCAGAAAAAATGACTGTTCATTTCCTAGATGCTGTTAATTCATGGAAATTACTTCGCCAGAAACAAAAGAAGACGCAGTTGTGAAGAAAATTTTCTTTCTGACGACTCATCTTTCAGAGCTGCACAATTGCATTCCTACTTAACGAAGAATTCATACAAACAGTCGGATACTGTGACAAGGTGTCGCCTTAAAGATACGTTTGATTTTATCAAATCATTAAAAGATGTCAGTCTGTTTGAACAATAAATACTTTTTCTGGATGTTACTTCCCTGTTCACAGGTGCCTCCTCAACGTAGGCCTCATATGTGACTACATCAAATCCATCAACTTAGAAATTCCTCTTTCCACAAACTACTTGAACGAATTGCTTCTTAGGCGTACCTTCAAAGAATCATGCTACACACAGAAAACGGTGTGGTTTATAGGGTCTCCTCTGGGTCCACTCTCAGTTGACTGTTTCATGCCGAGTCTTGAAGACAAAATCTTCTCCATTATTTCAGGCCAACTGATTAGTTCCAACTGCTTTGACACATTTAACTCTTTGAGTTGGACTTGTCTAAATAATAGAGTGCTAATGACTAAAGAGGTGAACTATCGTTTAGCATATAAATCACTTTCCATCTATTATAAACAGTTCTCATTTCTGAATCATTGAATGTTAACATGCTGTGGACTACCGTTAGACAATCATAACTTATCTGTAGGAGTTACACCATTTGTCAGTAACTTTATGAATTAGGACTCTGTTTTGATCTGGTCACCTCTTTTTTTCATCCCAGTGCGTTCTGAGTGGAACATTGGGCTTCAAGTGTGAGCTTTAAAGTTTCAGCAGCGGTGGTGTTATTTTTTTACCGGTTGTCTTCGATAACCTCATGGTCAACCTTACCTTGCCTCTTTAACCGAGTTTGCTACCGGCTACCGGAATCGAACCTGGACCGTGTATGTGTTCGGCGAATGTTTTACCACTGAACCGTTGACGCACTGGTTACCTCTTACTGTTTTTCAACTTAATATTACTTCGATTTAATATTATTCATCGAAGAATAAGGCGGCTTACATACCTAGTACATGTCCTAGGCACTTCAATTGAGGAGTTGACCTTTAAACAGTATGTGTATAGGTCCTTTGATATGCATCCGAATAACAAAGCTGTGTCATGGATGACGCAAGTGTTGGCGAATGTCACAAAAGCTTTCTATATCCCCTCTGAGACTTTCTCATCAAGCAGTCTATTAGAATTCCTAAACTTTGCAAATAAGTATTTTGACGTCAGTAAACATCTGTGTGTTTTGAATTCTTCCGAAAAAATAAAATTTCAATAAGCAGATCTTTGTTCAAACCCTTTTACTTAATAAACCTACACAATTGATAAGTATTACCTCTTACTGGATACTGGTTGGTAACTAGTATCATGTGCAAACTTAATTCTTTCAGTCAAGTTTGCAATGTGGTCGTCATGCTACTTGAATTTCCATCACAATGTACTCTGAACTGTTCTTAATAGATGGTTGGAGGCAATCGGCAGGCATCCTTACCAAATCTAGGTTTCTTGCTTGCATCAGAAGAAAGGACTAAATGCATGTTACTACTTACTAACTAATGTCCTATCAAAGTGGCCAATACAATCCTACAGTAGGTTGGTCGTGAGCCCAAATAGTTCAGTGTTAACGTCTCTCACTGCAACACTGGGTGACACAGGTGAAAATCCTTGAAGATTGCAGGTATGCTCTGCTGACGAGTGGCACTGAGCATGAAACCTAGGTCAAAGAATTCCTACCGACGGCCTTCAACCAAGTAATAATAAATATTATCTCTGGCTGTTACCTTTGACGTGTATTTTACTTTCGTCAATTGCCATGACTCTACTTCATCGTTGCAAGGACCTATAACCATCTTTAAGCTAAGGCAGTTTCCATTCGTCTGCATATTTTACAGCCCGTTGCAATTACTATCTCTTCAGTGATAGTTTTAAGTGATGTCTGTAGGCTATCAACTGCGTTCACTGATGGTTTTAGCTGGACAGGTTACTTTCACAAGGGTGCAGAAACCCTCGATGTTTATTTATATTACATCATGACTTTATTTTTTCACAAGATATCATATTAGGTCGTATGTTATTTACAAAGACTTAATTTACTTCTCTAAAATGTATATCATTATATTCTTATTCATTTGTTTGTTTGTTTGTTTCAAACTAACAATCTGTACTGTATACTACAGTGAATTTAAACGTTTTGCTCATCACGTCGTTAGTGTGTGCGTTCAAGTATTGATTTGTTCAAGTTATCAATATGTCATCTGTATATGTACATATTCACAATTAAAATCATAAAGTATTAATGGTAGTAGAAGTTTGAAAATCATGTTCAGTCTGAATATATGTAAGACTATTCTGCATTTGTTACCACCTGTCCTAGTAAAAATCTATTCTCTGCACCAGTCTGTTCTTGTTTACGTACTATTCTTTTCATCTGGTTTTCATTTTCCAAATTGTCGTTTGTTTATCTGCTTATCAGTTAATTATAAGCGCTTCTTTTCAATGTGTATAAGTTGTGTGTATATAAATGTGTGTATTTGTGGAACATATGTTTATGTATCCATTCATTCATTGTACTGTACTTATTTTTAGTTTACATTTCTTTTGTCCTGTCTTCTTCTCAAAATAAGTTTGACCAATCACATTGTTGAATAGGTAGGTACAATATAAGGTCGTGTGAAAACTTGTTGAAGATTAGTTAGTGGGCAACATTATTATTATTATTATCTTCAATTGTTGATATGACCAAAAAGAACATCATACGCCTGTATCGATACTTATTTGTCCGCCTATCATGATTTAAAGTATACTTGATAAAAATTATTGAGCATTAGATTAATGGCACAATAACGAAATAATGCCATTGGTTGTATAACTGTTTCCTTTTCTCCTGCGAATCACAGATATTCGTGCATTGGATATTGAGCAGGTAAGTGATTGGCTAATAATGATCAACAAACAGTCTTGCTGTTGCCCTAGGGATAGAATGACATACATTTGTTATTTGGAGGGTTGCAAGCAAGCGGCAGGAGAAGCCCAAATAGCTAGCTCAATGGCAATGTCTCTGATTGTACCACTGGGTGACTGGGACATGGCTCCCTTCAAGACTGTGGATACCTCTTGCTGACAGGGGCCAACAAGCACGAAATTTAAGTCGGAGGATTCCTGCCGATTGCCTTCAACTATCTAGCAACATTTCAGAGTCCACAACGATGGTGTGCCGCCTAGCTTCGTGGTCACATTTCACAATGTATACTGATAGAATTCAGTTTGCAGCACACGAAGGATGTGACTAGCTACAGGACGAAGAAGTTGCCTAAATTTCTAATGAGAAGTCATGACCAGTGGCGTCCACCGATTCGGGAGTGAGGACAGAATAAATACTCCTCGATGACATTGGCTGGTGTCAGTAGCGCGAAAAAATCACAAACTGCTAGGTTGAAGTGATAATTTATGGTCTGACCATTGAGTCGGGTTTCAGTGGTTGAGTGGTCTATAAGCTTGCCTTGTAAAAGGAAGGTCAGGTAAGTGCTTATTACCCGTGTTATTCCCAACTAGGATGAAACACTACCCAGTACTCCTTTGTTTTTCAATGGTTCTCTCACTATAATATCAATCTATGGTCAAACTTGTAACGTAGATCAATTGGTCAAGCGCGATAACAATTATTACATCAAAGTTATTCGAGTAATCAAATGGGAAAAAGGTGGAATCTTAAATTATTTATTATAATAGTTAGAACTAAGTTACTGGAGGAGATTTTCAGCTACCAGGCTATAAATTATATTCTTGTTTTAGAGCTGATAATACTATCCAGCTTCCCAAATTGAAATAGAAAAAAAGCGGGACTTGAACCGGGATTCTGTCGGCCGACAATAAGGCATATCTCCAGCTATCATAAAGGAATTGTTCAGTTTGCTTTTTTTCAAATGTGAATTCCAACTAATAGCGCGAAAATTATGGTCAACTGAGCAAATACCATCATTTGTAGCTGGTTTTCTTTGGTGATTAGTCTCTTAGACAGCATGGGAACCCTGTGACTCATTGGAAATGCAGGTCCCTGCAGCCGACTGCACCCAAAATTGTAAGAAATACGCATCTGAGACTTGGCTAGTAGTCATCACCACTAATCAAATCAAAGATACAAGATGGCAAATACAACAAAGTATAATGAGTGTGAGTGGAAATGGTACTGGAGTGTAAATTTGAGCTAACAAATAGTAATGCATAGATTTTGTCACAAAATAAAATAACATATTCATTTTGAGTTAATGTCTTTTATTGTAATTCTTCTTCTTCTTTTTATTTCAGTCGAAAAGCGCCTCTAAATCCCCTCAGTTGAACTGTAATCCATTTTCCTCGGACACTTTACTCATGAAATCAAAGCAGCATAAAACTAAATTAAAAGATGGTGAAATAGACAGTAATATTAGTAATAATAGTAATAATAATATGACCACGGGTGATAATGACTCTGCAATTGTTATTACTGATCGAAACAGTCCTTTATCAAAATCGTCAAGTGTAACCAATGATGATCATGGATGTGATCCTGAATTGGCTAGACAGTGGCATGATTATGTCGCGTGTAAACTGGATTCCGGTCGATCACGTATTTGGTCTGAAATAATCTCACGTATTGAACCGATTCTTAGTGTTGTTGGTTTAGTTGCTAGAGATATGACATTTGATCAAATTGCATCATTGTTAACTACTGTAAATCAGTAAGTAGTATGAATATTTGGTAAATTTGCTTTTGGTGTTTTTACTTTCTCCAGATATTTTGCTTAGATTGTTACCGCAATTATGTGATTAATCTTGCCTTGATGAAGTATTATGCGATTTGACTAACACAGTAGTTCGATTATGGATAAAATTTTATTTTGATAAAGTCACACAGCAATATTTACTGATGACCACGTTTCGAGAACAATTTATTGCTACTGATATAATCATATCAAGGTACTCACCTACCTTTCTTGCTTCGTTTATGTACATGAGTAAAGATTGATTAGAAGCGTTGGTGTTAAATAACTATCCCATAAAATTCATTAGGAAGATCATAAAAGGTCAAAAGCAAAATAAAAATAGTGGTGAAACTAGTAATCACAGTATAAATAAGAAAGAATATAGAGCATCTATAGTCCTAGCATATAAGTAGGGGACATCTGAGATCCTCCGAAGTAGGATTCTCAATAAAGCAGGAATTAGGGTGGCATTCACACCTACAAACTCACTCAGGTAAGACAGGCTGTGTAGGTTAAAGCAGCCTGTCGGCCCAATTAGACAAAATAATATAATTTATAAAATACCTTGCGATAACTGTTAGTTAAGTCGACTACATAGGTCAAACTAGTAGATCGGGCGTAGTCAGGTTATCGGAACATAACAATTTGGCTAAGGTTAGAATGGTTGACCCCACGTAGATAAGTAATTCAGAGGAAAAGCTCAGCAATCACACTGCATACATTAACACACAACCACACAATAGGGTGGGTGGGACAAAGTTAAAATTCTAAAGATTAATATAGGTAGGTGAATACAGAGAGAGAGAAATCGATTACTGAATCCTTGTTCATCGACTCTACACCCAACACAAGCAATAGAAGTGGCTCAATGCAAATACCACATATATGGAAGATATTATTACCACCAGTCAAATCAGAGAATGGTAAATAGTGTTCACAGTATAGCATTCTAACAAGTTATTTATTTTACTGACAAAGCTCTAACAACACTTGTTTTAATTCTCATCATACTGTATTCTGCTGACAATATTAATATTCGTTCCGATTGTGCTTTATCTTTCATTCTGTTTCACGCGAGTCTTATATAAATTTCATTTAAATGTCTAATCAATTTTTACTAATGCATATAAACGAGCAAGAGAGTTATGTGAGTACCTTGATATGCTTGTGAGCAGTAATAAATTTTGCTCGAAATGTGGTCATCAGTAAATATTACTGTATAACATTTTGTGATTTTATCATAATAAATTTTATCCATAATGGCATAGTTATGCTCTACCACAGTGTCCAAGTTTTATCCTTATAAAAATCAGTACAGTAGTAATGAGTTGTGATCATTATAGCAAGCTTAGCAGACATACTGTGAGTGATAACATTGTCATGCCCTGTTCACTTAAAAAAAAACACTTTCATTTGGTAATTGGTATGCGTGTGTATCATAGTTTTGGATTGGGTCAATCTATAACAGTCTAAGCCACGTAGGAAAGTGTAGACTTCCTAACTGGTTGGGGTCCTCGGGACGGTAAAAACCAATGGTTGGAAACAATTGGTGTCATGGCTCAAAATCGTTCTCAATGGCTGGGCAGATGCATCCACTCCTTGTGACTTATGATTTCCAATGAAACTGTTTTGTTCATCGTTATTACTCTTCCTGTGTCTCACACCTCTTTTTATTGTCTCTATTATGCATTTCTACTACTTTCTTCTCTTACTTTGTGTGCTACAAAGAGGGAGTGTGGCGAATTGAACTACCGCACATATGTGCAAAGTTCTATGTCGAAAACAGACAGACAGACTCATCAGTTCATATAGTTTCTGTGCTTCTTTTTTATTTTGCCTCTTGTGTGAGATACAGGATTGATCCAGTTTCTCCTTACGAAACATACTGGTTCGGGAAAGTGTTCACAACCTCTGTTTCGAATATACTGTTTGATATCTTTTTGTGAGAGACTTGTATCCATAATAGGAAACGACGAATATGAATACCAGAGGTTAATCTTCGAAAACTGGAAATTCGTGATTCTGAATATTGACTCGCAATATTTAACTTGGGCTTCAAAGTCTTCAACGATCCATCTGGGCAACCAAATTAAGGCAGCTCATGACGCTATCTTGTTGATTGATTTAGACATAAAGTTACCGACCTCGAAGGTAGGTACATAAAGTAATCGTTTCTTCCTATTCGAGCGTGATTCATTTATTGTCTGAAGAATAATCTGTTGAATTTATTGTTCGAATCCCGGTGGGTGCGTACTGCTGAAGAGTCCCGAACTAGGACGAAACATTTTTCCAGTACTCCCAGGTTTTTCAATGGTTCTCTGACTAATGTCGGCTCATGATGAAATTTTGCAAACGAATTTTTTGTTATTACTCTTTCATATCAACTGTTTTCTTTAATTGCTATCAGTTTTACACTTTTTTTTAATTTTTATTTTCATTAACTTCTTATCATTATTTGGAATCCAAACTTCTCTATACTGTATTGATTTGCTGAACATTTAATTTCACATAGCTCTCTTCTCATGTGATATCTAAAGAGGTATTTTGATATCAAGTTCGCCGTCTAATATGTTTACATCTTGATGTCAAATATAATACAGAGGAGTTTGATGAAGACGTTATAAAGCCTCTCTGTTGATATATCCTGTATTTTGTAGACTCGCTTTCAAGATCTTACAGTAGGTGTTTGAATGAACTTACCGTCCATTATATCAAAAAAGCTTCTTTTTCTATAAATGGGTATTCCGGGACGCTGTTAGTACGGTTTTCGATACTAAAACTGTTGCTCAACTGTTTTACTAAACACTCATCAATAAGTATTTATGTGCTGTCGTCATGCATGTATATCCTAGATAAACTGAAGGTCGACCCCACCTGAGGATAAATTCTTCATTCAACTGAGTAGTTTCTCTAGTCATAGATGCTCAACACATATTGAATATGAACAAAGCAAGAACTACAGTTTTAGCAGAATAAAATGGTACCATCTTTTATTTCGTTGCTTTCTCGTCAGCTGCTTACAGGCCAAAGACATTATTAAATATATATACACCAACAATTGTGACATACTTGCACACAGTTCATTTTAAACAAAAATCAATCTATCAATATGCGCATACAGTAATTACATATACATATATATTATATATATATATATATATATATATATATATATATATATGCAATATTAAACAGTATTCCGAACAATAATAATCATACACAATGGGAACTTTTCAGCATTACGCATTCAGATGAAAGAGAGATGAAAATATCCAGTTACCAGGCAGGGCGAAGAAAGACTGATTTATTTAATTTATTTTTTTTAAATTTTTTTATTTTGATTACAGCTTGATTCCACACTCTATTTTTTGTACAAGTATGGAATTTTCAGCGTGGATATCGGTAGCCAAAATTTAGCAGGCCGACCATAGATATTAGTTGTGCGTCAGCGGGGGCTCGAACCCCGGACCATGTGCATGGTCGTCAATAGTCCTAACTACTGTGTCACCGCTTCTTTCTGGACGCATAAATCAGGTCTCAGGTGCTTGATGGAAATGGCTTCAGCAAACTTAGGGAGAATTGAGCTCTTTTGCTTATTGATAATTTGGACGACTTTTCAGCGTCCACCTCATGACCCATGTCGAGGAGATGCCTGGCGATGGCACTGTTTAAAGCATTTGTTCCCTTTAGATGTAAGCCTTTTGGTACGTGTTCAGAAAATCGTAGATATGCACTTCTTTCTGTCCTTCCAATGTAACTGCTCCCGCAGATACATGTAAATTTGTGTATACAGTTGGAGTTAACATGAGAAGGATATCTATCGATTTTTGATTGCACCAAAGAGCAAGTTGTTCGATAGACAGGAACGAGCTTAGCTGCAGGATAGGCTATGGCTAGTGGTGTACTCAGCCTTCTGTTGATCATCGCTGCAATATTTTCACCTTTATAATCAAGCTGAACGTAGACTGGCTTTTTTCCCACTGTGATTTGTTTTACGTTTGTGACTTCAGATCTTCCATAGTCGTTGATGAACCTTTGAGGGTACCCATTGCTCTTCAATATCTTTTCAAGGAACTCAAATTCCTTTTCGAGTTTCTCTATAGAGCATATTCTCCTCGCTCTTTAGTACAGAGTCTTGACTAGACCACCTTTAAAGCCATTTGGACAAAAGCTATTAAAATTATAAGTATTATCCTTTCCAAGTAGGCTTTCGATAAATTGACTTTTGAAGACTACCGTCTTCTAGGCGTTCCGTAGCAATGTCGAGGAAGTAAAACTTTCCGTCACTTTCATGTTCCACAGTGAACTCATTATTGGCGTGTGCATCATTGAATAATCTTAGTAAGTGTGATGCATGACTTTCATTTTTGCACACTATAAATGTGTCATCAACATATCTACAGTAAGAAGATGTTTCATCGATTGCATGCTTCACCTTTGTTCTTTCAAGGTTTGACATGAATATATCTGCTAAAACAGGGCTAAGTGGACTGCCCATAGCTACATCATCTATTTGGTGGTAAATAGTGTTGTCGAATTGGAATATTGAATACTTCAATGTGAAGACTTGCATATACAGGTTAGGGAATTGAGTTCAAATTTAGAGTAGTCTAGGTGGTCATCCGGAACAGGTAACTGAAGGACAAATAATTAAGATTGTCTTCTGCAGTTGTGTTCTTGTCACAATGTGTTTCAAATCAGTAGCAACATTCGTTAGCTTATGTCATACCCTTTTCTGATGGTCCAGCTTCTTAGACTCAAAATGGTTACATTACAATTTCTGTAATTTCCAAATTCCCATTTACGCATTTAAAAAAACAACAGAGTTTGCGAAGAAATATATTTCTTTTCAATTAGTTCCTCATTGTTCTCTTACATCAAAAGCTTTTACCAATCAAGTGGTTATTTTAGTTAATCAGTTCTATGTATAGGAGGCGGGAGCGAAATTAAGAGGTTAAAAGTCATCAAAATAATTAACTAATGGGTGTTAGTAACAAGATATCTAAGTTTTAAAGGAGGGGTGAAAATTAATTACAGAATTAAAGATAATTTGATTCTTTGCCTTTAGCAACAAGCTGTTACATAATCAAGAAGTTTGTAAAATAGCAATGATGACTAAGAAGAATATGATGACTCAGAAGAGTTTTCGTAGAATACAAACAAGTTAACAGAATTAGGTAGAATTGTTAAAATTAACAAAGTCAAAAGATAGTTACAAGATGAGGGGAAAAGACAGTTTTTTTAAACACAATATATATTGTGTACTTGGCCATGGGAAAGAAAGGAGCTGTACTTATTTCTTTTGAGCACACAGATTTGGCTTGCTTAGATGAATTCCGATTACCTCTGTTGTATATAAAAGTCGTACTCGTGGGCCATGCAAGAGGTTGAGTGATATACGATTATAATTTCTACCGATGGCTTGTTCGTATACGGAACTACTTCTCTGTCATAACTACATGTCTGTGGCTGTATGCACTTGATTTTTTTGCGTTCTAGTGATTATGACATTAGAATGTCTCCACTAGATATCAAGCTAATCTAGTTTCAAGACTGGCTACTGATTCATCAGGATGTACCCAGAAATACTTAAAAGATGTCGTTAAACGTAAATCGACTTTGTTACTTTAAGGAGTGTCCTATTATCAGATACCTGTAGTTTCCGTCAGTAAATTTAACCGTCGATTAAGAAAACACCATTGGACTAAGGTGTAAGAAACAGTTGGAATTTTAGTCGTCAGCAGACATGATCTAAGTAAGACTCTCTCTCTGGCACATATTGACATACTAGTCAACAGCTTTTGATGATGCTCAAAACTGTGGAACACTAGTGAATACTCTTTAGCTGGTCAATAGAGTCATTGTTTTATTCCGTAATGCCTAGTGCATCGTAGTCAGTCAACAACATCGTGTCATTAAAAAATTGATGTGTTTCAATGCTCCGAAATGTTTTCTTCATCGTAAATTATTTTAGGTAAAAGATTTCTCTCATATGTCTGAAAATCAGTAGATGTATTAGGCTGTTATTACATATCACATATTTTGAAAAGTACGTGAAAACGTAATTGGAGAGAGCAGATTGTGTAAGTAGACCACCTGCCAGTTGTCCAAGTACTGTTATATATTTGATAAGACGAACAGCTATTGTATCTTCAAGTGTTCATCTTGATCGCGATCATGAATTAATTCTAGTTGGAGAATCATTTAAAACTAAAGTGTACTGGACAGGTGTTTCGTGCTTGTTTGATGCTTTATTGTGCTGTGATTCGAGGATAAATCCTTCTCCTTTTACAAAAGATTTCCGTAGGGAGGCACAATATAGTAAGTCTTATCTCATGATCACCGGAGTCCACCAAGTTGGGCTTAAGAACAGATATTCATCGAAGACACTGCCTGGTGGTCGCGCTATTTATGTAGCGAATTGGCAGGAGTTAGAATGTATTGGTCATTTGGCTCCGTCCCAGTATTTGAATAGTCAATGGGCTGGCTTAGTAACTTTAAGGTCCTGGGTTCGATACTGGTCGGCGTTGTAGGTGAGTACCACTGAGAAGTCCGGACTAGGATGAAACAGCTCTCAAGTACTCCTTGGTTTTGATTGGTCCAATGGTTTTCTAACTGAAGTCAGTTCGTGATCAAGGTTATGGTGTCTTTTTGATATGGTGATCGATGTCCAGTCTGGAAATGAACCAATCAGTTGTCTCATAGATCATCAGTAGACAGGTAACCAATGTATTATCTTTTTTGACATTCTTTGTTCCCTATATATATATTATTGTTTCCTTTCATAAATATACTCTCTGTCACGCCTTCTAAATGACAGCAAAATGTGAAAACGCTACGGAATATTTAAGCATCTATTGGCTAAGTTACTGTACTAGCAGAGATAGATATCAAATCATGAGAAACTATATAAGTACAAGAAAGTGAACACACACAAAACTACTATAATGCTTTCCACGTGAATCAATGAATGTGAATGCAGTTATAATGTTTATTATCTTTTGTATTTTTTTATTCCTTTCTTTTACTAGTTTTGTACATATTGGTGAAGAATTCTGTGAATGCCCAGCCAACGAATTACTGGAAGCTTTAAGAATATCAATACAAAAGTATTTCAAAGATTTCCACAGGTAAATCAATGAGTCTAATAAATCAGTTAATTCTTTTTTTTGTCTTTTTCTTTTCCGTGTCCATTACAAGAGCCTTTTTATTGATGTCTTTTTTCCTGTTACACCCGTTTTTATCGATTTTGTGTCTTCTTGTGTATTATTTTTTTTTCACTAACAAGACTATTAAATGTCATGTGATCTCGACTGATTTACTTTTGAGGATGAAATTTACTCACTCTCTTAGATATTTTTCACAAATTCATCTGTTTTCAGTTAGTTTTTACAAGGCTTAAAAGACGACCAGGTTTTCTTGGTTTTTCAACTCCTTCTAAATGTGGTTATCAGTTAAGTTTTTTTATTAGGAAATAAGTTTGATTTTGAGCACTATTATTAAAGCGTGGGTGGGGTTTCTAACATAATTCTCATTCGAGGTATCAGTTGGGTGGATCTTCCCTGCGGGATATCTATTCTGTACTCCATGGAATATGAAATGACCAGTAAGAGATGTGGTCCCTTTGACTGAGGTTGTCGTACTTTCCAATTCGACAAGAGTTGGAAATCTTACGTCATTATATCTTAGTCAGTTGATTGACTAATTGATTGCTTTATTAATAGCCTTCTGGTCGATATAAGTTTAACAGTCCTGAGGTAGATCACTTACAGTATCAGAAATAGCATCAGTACGTATTCCGGAGTTTGGTTTCTGGCGGATGCACTCCTTAAACTCTCTTAGCCGTTAGTAAATCCAATGAAGAGGGAAGGTTAGGCGTGAGACTAGCAACGCAACTCCGTAAAATGTATACCGCTGCTGCTACTACTACTGGAACTTCAGAGCTGAAGCTTGAAGGCCTATTTTCCATTGGAAACGTAAAGGAATAATAAAAATACGATAAGAGTATCAGAAAAAATGACTGTTCATTTCCTAGATGCTGTTAATTCATGGAAATTACTTCGCCAGAAACAAAAGAAGACGCAGTTGTGAAGAAAATTTTCTTTCTGACGACTCATCTTTCAGAGCTGCACAATTGCATTCCTACTTAACGAAGAATTCATAAAAACAGTCGGATACTGTGACAAGGTGTCGCCTTAAAGATACGTTTGATTTTATCAAATCATTAAAAGATTTCAGTCTATTTGAACAATAAGTACTTTTTCTGGATGTTACTTCCCTGTTCACAGGTACCTCCTCAACGTAGGCCTCATATGTGACTACATCAAATCCATCAACTTAGAAATTCCTCTTTCCACAAACTACATGAACGAATTGCTTCTTAGATGTACCTTCAAAGAATCATGCTACACACAGAAAACGGTGTGGTTTATAGGGTCTCCTCTGAGTCCACTCTCAGTTGACTGTTTCATGCCGAGTGTTGAAGACAAAATCTTCTCCATTATTTCAGGCCAACTGATTAGTTCCAACTGCTTTGACACATTTAACTCTTTGAGTTGGACTTGTCTAAATAATAGAGTGCTAATGACTAAAGAGGTGAAGTATCGTTTAGCATATAAATCACTTTCCATCTATTATAAACAGTTCTCATTTCTGAATCATTGAATGTTAACATGCTGTAGACTACCGTTAGACAATCATAACTTATCTGTAGGAGTTACACCATTTGTCAGTAACTTTATGAATTAGGACTCTGTTTTGATCTGGTCACCTCTTTTTTTCATCCCAGTGCGTTCTGAGTGGAACATTGGGCTTCAAGTGTGAGCTTTAAAGTTTCAGCAGCGGTGGTGTTATTTTTTTACCGGTTGTCTTCGATAACCTCATGGTCAACCTTACCTCGCCTCTTTAACCGAGTTTGCTACCGGCTACCGGAATCGAACCTGGACCGTGTATGTGTTCGGCGAATGTTTTACCACTGAACCGTTGACGCACTGGTTACCTCTTACTGTTTTTCAACTTAATATTACTTCGATTTAATATTATTCATCGAAGAATAAGGCGGCTTGACATACCTAGTACATGTCCTGGCACTTCAATTGAGGAGTTGACCTTTAAACAGTATGTGTATAGGTCCTTTGATATGCATCCGAATAACAAAGCTGTGTCATGGATGACGCAAGTGTTGGCGAATGTCACAAAAGCTTTCTATATCCCCTCTGAGACTTTCTCATCAAGCAGTCTATTAGAATTCCTAAACTTTGCAAATAAGTATTTTGACGTCAGTAAACATCTGTGTGTTTTGAATTCTTCCGAAAAAATAAAATTTCAATAAGCAGATCTTTGTTCAAACCCTTTTACTTAATAAACCTACACAATTGATAAGTATTACCTCTTACTGGATACTGGTTGGTAACTAGTATCATGTGCAAACTTAATTCTTTCAGTCAAGTTTGCAATGTGGTCGTCATGCTACTTGAATTTCCATCACAATGTACTCTGAACTGTTCTTAATAGATGGTTGGAGGCAATCGGCAGGCATCCTTACCAAATCTAGGTTTCTTGCTTGCATCAGAAGAAAGGACTAAATGCATGTTACTACTTACTAACTAATGTCCTATCAAAGTGGCCAATACAATCCTACAGTAGGTTGGTCGTGAGCCCAAATAGTTCAGTGTTAACGTCTCTCACTGCAACACTGGGTGACACAGGTGAAAATCCTTGAAGATTGCAGGTATGCTCTGCTGACGAGTGGCACTGAGCATGAAACCTAGGTCAAAGAATTCCTACCGACGGCCTTCAACCAAGTAATAATAAATATTATCTCTGGCTGTTACCTTTGACGTGTATTTTACTTTCGTCAATTGCCATGACTCTACTTCATCGTTGCAAGGACCTATAACCATCTTTAAGCTAAGGCAGTTTCCATTCGTCTGCATATTTTACAGCCCGTTGCAATTACTATCTCTTCAGTGATAGTTTTAAGTGATGTCTGTAGGCTATCAACTGCGTTCACTGATGGTTTTAGCTGGACAGGTTACTTTCACAAGGGTCCAGAAACCCTCGATGTTTATTTATATTACATCATGACTTTATTTTTTCACAAGATATCATATTAGGTCGTATGTTATTTACAAAGACTTAATTTACTTCTCTAAGATGTATATCATTATATTCTTATTCATTTGTTTGTTTGTTTGTTTCAAACTGACAATCTGTACTGTATACTACAGTGAATTTAAACGTTTTGCTCATCACGTCGTTAGTGTGTGCGTTCAAGTATTGATTTGTTCAAGTTATCAATATGTCATCTGTATATGTACATATTCACAATTAAAATCATAAAGTATTAATGGTAGTAGAAGTTTGAAAATCATGTTCAGTCTGAATGTATGTAAGACTATTCTGCATTTGTTACCACCTGTCCTAGTAAAAATCTATTCTCTGCACCAGTCTGTTCTTGTTTACGTACTATTCTTTTCATCTGGTTTTCATTTTCCAAATTGTCGTTTGTTTATCTGCTTATCAGTTAATTATAAGCGCTTCTTTTCAATGTGTATAAGTTGTGTGTATATAAATGTGTGTATTTGTGGAACATATGTTTATGTATCCATTCATTCATTGTACTGTACTTATTTTTAGTTTACATTTCTTTTGTCCTGTCTTCTTCTCAAAATAAGTTTGACCAATCACATTGTTGAATAGGTAGGTACAATATAAGGTCGTGTGAAAACTTGTTGAAGATTAGTTAGTGGGCAACATTATTATTATTATTATCTTCAATTGTTGATATGACCAAAAAGAACATCATACGCCTGTATCGATACTTATTTGTCCGCCTATCATGATTTAAAGTATACTTGATAAAAATTATTGAGCATTAGATTAATGGCACAATAACGAAATAATGCCATTGGTTGTATACTGTTTCCTTTTCTCCTGCGAATCACAGATATTCGTGCATTGGATATTGAGCAGGTAAGTGATTGGCTAATAATGATCAACAAACAGTCTTGCTGTTGCCCTAGGGATAGAATGACATACATTTGTTATTTGGAGGGTTGCAAGCAAGCGGCAGGAGAAGCCCAAATAGCTAGCTCAATGGCAATGTCTCTGATTGTACCACTGGGTGACTGGGACATGGCTCCCTTCAAGACTGTGGATACCTCTTGCTGACAGGGGCCAACAAGCACGAAATTTAAGTCGGAGGATTCCTGCCGATTGCCTTCAACTATCTAGCAACATTTCAGAGTCCACAACGATGGTGTGCCGCCTAGCTTCGTGGTCACATTTCACAATGTATACTGATAGAATTCAGTTTGCAGCACACGAAGGATTAGACGTTGATAGTCCTCCACTTTTTTATACACGAGATAAGAATTAGTTAGCAGGGCGTGAATTATTTACAACCATATTTTTAAATATACAAACTTTTAGTTCATTATTGTTATCTGTCGGGTTCCAAATAGAATAAAGAGCTTCAGCAATATGTCACCATTCTATTCTATACTCAGAATTCTGTTTCGTCCGGCTCCATGATTACGCATAAGTTTTTAGTGCCTCCTCACCCAATCTTCTCCGTGTCACCATTGGACGCCGAACTCATTGTTTCCCAAACGGGTTTCACTCAAGAACCAGTCTGATGACTACATCTTTAAACGACATAAACTTTGAGCTCACCATAATTAATATTATTATTCTATCGGGTTCCAGGTGGAACAATGACCGCCAACAGCACAATTGTGGCAACAGTAAGGCTTCGATACCACAGCCGAATGATCTTGAACCAGCCTATCAGATCACTAAGAATCACAATGGATGCTTTTCGTAATCTTCGTTGCAAGTTTCACTTTGACCTCAATCATAACCTTACCTTAATTCTTAACCGTGGCCTTAACCCTGAATCAGAATAAAACTTGCAACGAAGATTATAAAAAGCATCTATTTGTATCACTTAAAGATCTGATTGTTCGATCCAAGGTCACTTGACTGTGGTGTCTATTCTTAACTGTAGCCCACGTTGTCGTCCTACTTTGTTCTCTGAATTACTCATAAGTTTTCATTTTCTTACAAAAACTATTACTTGTTACCCTCGGACTCCCAACTGGTTGCTCCTTGTTCGGGTTTCACTTGA